AATCTTGAGCCAGGCAGAATCGAAGTACTGGCAGTTGGCGGAGTTAGAGCCTGCAATACTGCATTCCAACCACTGCGCCGCCACGGCTCTAGGTGGTCAATCTCTGAGTTGAGGTTCAAAAGATCTAGGGAATAAGGAAAAAGTTGATCTAAAGGACATTCCAGATTGGGTACAGGCGTATAGTTGGTTTCATCAGAAGATAAAAGCATTTAGAATGATTAGAATGTGCCAACTTCGGAGAGAAATCCAAGACCCTGTAAGTCTAGGTTGAGTAAGCCATTTAATATGCTGTAGAACCAGAGCTCTCCTTGAAGATGTAAGAGGACAACAGAATCGAGAGATAGGGTTTTTATTGTACAAATTATCATGGTCACATAATGATTTTGGGCTGCATAGGAAACATTGTTGGATGGGTAAAGGTCCTCAGTTGTTCTCTGTTTAAGTTGACTTGTTGCAATACAGTTAATTAGTAAGGGCTTAGGGAAGGCTTATCATGAATCTAATTACAGTGCTGAAAAGCTTTAATAATATTCTTACTCTGAAACGTGATGCTATTTACATATTTTACCATGACATGACCATGGATGGCTCACAGCCCACTGTGGAATCCCACAGAAAAATACACAATATCTCTATGTAGCACTGAAGTAATAGTAACACTACTCACAGTGGTAGTTAAATTTGTTATCTTTGCCAGTGGGATGGTGATGATAGAAAAAGTATCTGCCTTTGAACTTTGAGAAAGGGAAACTTTTTTTCAGTGCAAAATTAGAAATAGCCTGACAAACTCTGTTCAAAGCAGCCAACATAACTCACAGTTTGGGCTCAGTGTCATCATGCTATAGCTATAAGAAGTAGTGAGAGAGAATGAGGAGCTAAATTAGAGTTATACATCAGAGCTGAGGAACCAGCATCACACCTATTAGAGAGTGAAGTGGTTTCCTCATGGTAGAAGTTGTAGGCAGTTGTTTGCAAGAGACCAGAAGCTAGGATTGGAGCTTGTGACTGAAATTTTGACTGAAAATTCTTACAATATTCACCCAGAAAATGCAATGGAACAGTAATGAACGTACCCTTCAGTTGGCCACTGGAACCTCCTGGATTTTTGCTCTGAAGTCCAACCATATCTATAATATTGCTTCCAACTTCTTTTAGTTCTTCTTTTCCTCTTAAAATAAACCAAAATGTTTAAAAATGCTATTCATTTTATATTATGGTTCACTGCAGTGTCAGCCAGATGTTTAGGCTAGATTTGGCATTTTTATCCACCTATCAAGTCCTTCCCAAGGACCTGAGAGATGTCGATGTTGTTTGATGGTGTTATTACCACAGGATGTATGTTGTTCCAAATAAAGCTGCCTTTTGCAATTGACTGATAGTGATTTTGTCAATGCTGATGGTGTTTAGGTGATGCTCCAGATGCTCTATAATTGCACTTATTACTATTGGTATTATCTTTGCTTTCATTTGCCACATCATTCCACTTCTATTTGTAGGCTTTATATTTTGTGATTTTCTCTTGTTCTTTCTCTTCTTTTCTGCTGTCTCAGGTACAAACATGTCCATTATCCAGACTCTTTGCCTTTCTTATTGATAAGCTTTAAGTCTGAGGTGTTATGTGGCAGGTTCTTATCTATTTGAATTGTAAAGTTCCAAAGCACTTTTGCTTCTTCATTTCTATTAGCTATTTTATGGTTCCATTACCTTTTCTTGTAATAGTAATGGTATTTCTTACAGATATTTCAATGTTCCATTGTTGCTACTTTGTTGTGCCATCATTTGTAGTCAGACTGCACAATCTTGCAGCAGCTAACTAGGTGCTTCACTGGTGGTTTACTCGGTTTATTTGCAGAGGAGGCCGTTGCTGTCTGTGCTGTCTTCCCAATTCTGAATTTGTATGCATTTGATTTTGATCTTGTGCAGCCAGAATTAGCGTCTCTTTCTTCAATTTTCCTGCTCTTAGACATTGCCAGATCTTGTTATTATATGCCTTGCTTGCTATTTTTAAAAAATGTACTGCCCATGTAATACTTTATTTTATAATCTTCATTATTTTTATTTATTTATATTTCACATTTCGGAACCATCCATTTTCCTCATTATTTTGTCCTTTAAAACAGTATGGATTTCCAACTTAACATGTTAACTAATCAGGGAAGCAAACTCCATTTTATTCCTATAATTATGTCATGATGCCACAGGAATTTAAAATATGCAGTCATATTGGCAAATTATATACAAAATGCTGAATGGGATTGGGGAAAAACATATTTTGCATAATCATGTAAGTGGTTGAGCAGGTGAGAGTATGAAGCTTCGTTTGCGCATGTGCAGGAACTAGGTTGCGTACACAAAATAATCCCCTCCCTCCCTCCCTCTTGCCACTCTGCTGCCACCAGTCCACGGAACAAGAAAGTTTGGGGACTGCTAGTGTAAAGGCAGAATCAAGGAAAAAAAGTTAGCTGGCTTTATCTCTGCTAAAATATTGAGTTCTGTGCTGTACGCAATATGGCTTACCTTCTCAAACCACCTTGTTGTAGAACCCTAATACATTGTCACTAAAGTGAAAAGAGGGGATATTATTTTGTCCCTCTGCCTCCTTTAGTAGAAATGATAGGTACATAAAAGCCAGGAAGTCCTGCTCAGGCAATTTTTTACCCCAAGAATTGTTAAGAGTTCTTCCAGTTCAGGTGAGTTCAATGTGGGGAGCAGAATTGTTTAACTCTTATAGCAAAAAGGCATCGGACTAAAGATCCCTGCTGCTATTAACTTTACCTGGGCACCAGGGCAAGGATATATTTATATATTTATCCAAGGATATATTTAAACAGTAAAAAAAATGTATTTATGCAAGCAATAAGCAACCTATATCCTTTGATTATTAGAGGAAATTTCCAAAGGCATTAGGCATCCAATAGAGCGAGAGTTTCCTTTTTGGGTTTTTTTCTTGCATACTTGGTCATCATATTATATTTTATATTTTGTATATGTGGTAGTTTTGTTTCTTTTTTAAATTTTAATGTTTTTATGCTTTACACTGCCCAGAGTCACACTGTTTGAGTTGGTTAGGCTTATACATCTTAAAAAATTAATAAATGTGCAGAAGATTCCATAAAGTACATTTTACAATAAAAGTGAGAGTTGAAAATGAAAACACTGGAATTTTTAACAGAGTTTTTTTTCTATTTCTCCTTCAATAGTAACCATGCTAGAGTCTCTACAATGCATAGAACAGTCATGAATATCTGCTGTTTTACAACATCATGTGTTCTACATCATTTGGTGGAATAAATGTTTTATTGTACTTTTTAGAACAATTTGCATTTCTTAAGATTCATGATAGTGTCTGAAATAGTGTAGGGTACACATATATGTGTCATTGATTTTCATCCATCAGCTTTAAGTATAATTAAGTATTGGTGTAACCATTTTATTTTATTTATTTAGGCAAACAACAATCATATAAACTATTCAACATGAACACACAACCCAGCATATATGCTCCTGTCTGACAGATGAATATTCTCATTCACCAATAGGGCACTCATAAAATATCGACACACCTTAGGAGGTAATAGGACAGTTGACAACATATTAGCAATAGACAATTTTCCTCTAGGTTTCCCTTTTTTCATTAGAAGCACCTTACATTTATTTATTTATTTATTTGATTTGCCAATTGTTTACAAGATAATAAGTATAAGTGTATACATAGTTGTGAATACATGAAATGGGTACATATAAGAAAAATAAAAGAAGAATAAGAGAAACAATAGGACAGGGACGGTAGGCACGTTGGTGCGCTTATGCACGCCCCCTACAGACCTCTTAGGAAAGGGGTGAGGTCAATAGTAGACAGTCTAAGGTTAAAGTTTTTGGGGTTTGGGGAAGAAACTACAGAGTCGGGTAGAGTATTCCAGACATTGACCACTCTATTGCTGAAGTCGTATTTCCTGCAATCAAGTTTGGTGCGGTTAACTTTGAGTTTGTATCTATTGTGTGCTCTTGTGTTGTTATGGTTGAAGCTGAAGTATTCATTGACAAGTAGGACATTGCAATGTATGATTTTATATACCATGCTTAAATCAGACCGAAGACGGTGTAATTCAAGGTTTTCTAGTTCTAGAATTTCAAGTCTGGTGGCATAAGATATTCTACAACGAGTAGAGGAGTGGAGAACTCTTCTTGTGAAATATTTCTGGACTTTCTCAATTGTGCTAATATCAGATACGTAATGTGGGTTCCAGACTGATGAACTGTATTCGAGTATTGGTCTAGCAAATGTTTTGTATGCTCTGGTTAGTAGTGTGATATTACCAGAGAAAAAGCTACGTAGGATTAGGTTAACAACTCTTAATGCCTTTTTGGCTATGTAGTTGCAGTGGGCTCTAGCACTTAGATCATTAGAGGTGAGTATTCCAAGGTCCTTTACAGAGCTTGGGTCATCAACAAGATCTTGACTATTCAGCTTGTATTTTATTTTCTGATTTTTTTTTGCCAATATGTAAGACAGAGCATTTATTTGTTGAGATTTGAAGTTGCCATTTGTTTGACCATTCTGATACATAGTCAAGATCTTTTTGTAGGGTAGCAGTATTGTCTGTGGTATTGAACAGCTTTACATCATCAGCGAAAAGAACGCAATTGCTCTTAATATGATCACAGAGGTCATTTATGTAGAGTATGAAGAGAGTTGGTCCTAGAACACTGCCTTGGGGGACACCACTATTGACAGGTACAGAATTTGATAGGACGCTCCCAATTTTGACCATTTGTTGTCTGTTTGCCAGGAATGCTTCTATCCAGTTATGCAGTTGTCCAGAGATACCATAGGATTTTATTTTTAGGAGTAGTTTGTCGTGTACCACTGAATCAAAGGCTTTACAGAAGTCTATGTAGATTGCATCTATTGCTTTGCCCTGGTCGAGTTGTGTCGTCCATATGTTTTTGCAGTGTAAGAGTTGCAGATTACAGGATAGTAATTTCAGCATCTTTTGCATTTCAGCATCTTTTGCCAATCTTAAAAATTTCTATTCAGTTCAGAGAATGTAAGAGTTTAGAAACACTCTATGGTATTTTGTACATTAAATTAGAAATAAAAAGCAAGAACTCCATAAAGAACAATTGACCATTAAACAGAGACTCCCACAGACAACCACACGCTTTACTAAATGTACCAAAATAGATCTGCTACAAAAGTAAATTTGACCAAATACCTTTGGATAAATCTCAGATCTCAGCAGCCAAGTGGTTAAACATTTATGATTTGATTTTATCTCAGCTTGGAATGTCGTTGGAGTGTCCCACTTCTGACAACTGTTTGCTAAGTTAAAGCTTTAATGTTTACATAGCACTGAATGAAGCAGCCTGGTCTCCAGATGTGAATGCTTCCTTAGACTGGTGCTTTCTATCAGATCACCATCCTAATGGACCCTGCTCCAATCTTCTTCCTTAGGACGTCCACCAGTCTTTGCAATCTGGAATGGAGGAAGGGGTGGGGGGAGGAAGAAAAGGAAACTAATATTAGGAATGTCCTGACTGAAAAGAGACAGTGTTTGCTCTGGACCAATACAACCCAGGGGTGGTCATAGAAGAAACAAAGCATTACTGTAACCGAGACAGGCTCCCAAGGCAGAATGCAGACAATTTGTAAGAAACTTTTAACCTACAGCCTTGTCACAGTCAGAAGAGGGTGTTAATTCATCTTCCACTCTGTGACAAACACAATATCTCAGGCTCTCATGTCTCCAGGTTTACACAGCATTTTGACACTTTGTATGTGAAGCTTCTTGTAGAGATGCCGTTACACAAGCAACAACTTCCAAATTCATGGTACATGTACGTGGAGGGAAATATGTAAGTATATACACTGCTGCCCTGGTGGTGATTCTTCTTAAACATGGAACGTCTAATTAATAAAGCATTACGCCTTCATTTCTGCCTCAACTGCACATGAGCTTTAATTGGATGCTCCCTGAAATGTACATTTTCCTACATGTGATTATGTAAAGTTGAACCTGAAAATGTGATTATTAATTATACTTTTACACTGTTCAGTAAGAAGAATTTGGTGGAGAGTGTTGAATGCTAGCACAAAAACTCTACAGGTGATGTAGTAGTTGAAGTGCAGTATTGCAGGCAAACTCTGGAATTCGATCCTGACAGGGCTCAAGGTTGATTCACTCTTCCATCCTTCCATAATACTGCTACACTGTAAATCATCCAGAAAGTGCTGTAAAATGCTATGGGGCGGTATATATAAGCCTAAACACGATTGCTATTGTTATAGGGTTACAATTACTTTCTATCTCCTACCGTTAGCCTTCTCTAGCTTGATACTCTTTGGATGTGGAAGTATTTACCAGGCATGATGGAAGCTGAAATCCAATATCTCTGGAAGGTAACATGAGGTGAATTATTATTCTACTACCATGTTTCTCAATCTTGGCCACTTTTAAGAGGTGTGGATTTTTTCTCCCAGAATTCCCCATGCTAATTGGGGAATTCTGGGAGTTGAAGTCCCCACCTCTTAAAATGGCCAAGGCTGAGAAACATTGTTCTACTGTAAACACTGGTACTGATATATCTTGTTGCCCATTCTTACCATAGGTTTTTAATTCAAATTTCCAATACTATAGGGAAAAGAGCAATTACATTTTTCTTCAGCTTTCCTCCCAATTCTTGAGTATTTATTTATTTAGGTGCCTTTAAGTCTTCTGATAACTGACAGATCCATGCAGAAGTGGTTTGACACGGCTTTCTTCCTAGGGCTGAGAGAAAGTGATTGGTCCAAAGTTACCATCTTAGGTTGGGGATATATGACACAAAACTAGTTTCCCATCATTTGATGAAGTTATGACAGATATTTCAGCATTTTTTTCCTTGCAGATTGCCATATTCCCAAATTGCAGATTCCCATATTTCCAAATGTAGTAAAAACCAATTATTTTTAAGAACATACATGGTTTTAATTTGACTATTCAGTTCTATAGTATGTCACTGTTGCTGTTGCAGTTCCTTCAAGAATCTTTGCATAATCTCTCTTGCCTGCATTATGATGTACATGAGTATTTTTGCAGTGATGAAGAATATGTAAATGATACAAGCACACAAGTCTACTAGTCCATGAGATTCTCAGTCATTCAGGGCATGGTTGTCCCAAAGGTGCTTTTTTCAAAAGCTAATTGGACTTTGTTTTTCCTTGCAGATGCTTCGCTTCTCATCCAAGAAGCTTCTTCAGTTCAGAACTGAAGCTTTATTCAAGAAGCTTTTTGAATAAAAAGTGAAAAGTCTTAAAGGAAAAACAAATCCAATTGCCTTTTGAAAAAAAAAATCACCTTTGGGACATGAGTCAACCCTTTAGCATTTATCTACTTTTTGATGCGTCAGCAGACAATGGCCCTTCATGATCTCTGCTAAAAGGATTTTCCAACTATTTCATCTGAAATGACTGGTAACTACTTGACGTCTTTAGCAGGCATAGCAAACTATGGACAAAATAGTGATAAGAATGTTTTGCAACTCTAGATTTTTCTGCTTCATATACTGAGTATGGGGTGAGGGAAAGAGCAAAGCTGAAGCAATATACTGTCAGTTCATGCTGATATTTGCACATGTTATCCATTTTTCTATTAGCTTATGATGGAAAAAAACCTGGAATGTGTTCTAATATGGATTTAAAGTGTTTTTCCCCTCTCAAAATATATGTTTAAATGGGCACTTTGAAATATTGGATTATGGAGAACTCTGTTGTTATATTTGGGAAAAAACACAATACCAACTGGTATCTGGTTGCTGATATGTCTGAGATGAAGATTAACTAATTTTGTATATAATTCTTCTAGAAAAACCTATCAGAGCATGATTAAGAAAAGTGAAAACAATAGGGCAACATTTTAGTCCTATTTCAAATAATATATCTGATCTTTGTTAAGCTTGTTATTTCATTCTGAACAGCAGTAAATGGATGGTTGATGTCAGGTTTTTATACTTTGATACTATGATAATTCGAAATGTTCGTAGGAACAAATGATGTTGGAAAACTGATCTACATCTATGAATTGAACATATTTTGGTTGATATTTTAATAATTATGAACTCCTTTATCTGTGCTGTACAACTTTTTCTGAAGATTAATTTTTATGTGGCATAAAAATACCCATGAACAAAAATGAGCATGAATCTATCGTTAGTATAGGAAATTAAATACACAACACTTTTTGTGATTTGTATGACTTCCTGGCAGTTAAGCAGAAACATTAATATAATATGAAAAGGAATTCCACTCTCATTGCACAAACAGAGAGCTTTTAAGGACTAATAGATGAGAAATAGAGATCTACAACAATTATTCCTTAAAAATATACTATAGTTCTTACCACTTTTCATGATGCAAGCTGAAACAGCAGAGGTATACAATATATGCGGAAACTGTAACTTTTTTTCAGGAGATACTAGCTTGCCTACAACTTTTATAGCATTATTCAGAAAACCTCTAGCTTTTCATACAGTTGGGTATAAATATACTAACCCAAAAAATAATTATAGAGGAAAGGCAGCGGAAAATGTAAGAGTTTTTCAGTAACAGAATATGATGCCAGATATGTATTTAATTATATTTTTCATATTCTCTATATTGCTGAAGATCACTGCCTGGACTCAAAAAATTACAGGGGTAGAAGAAGGTCACAAAGTTGAGACTGTGCTTATAGTTATTTAATTTTGAGCATTCCTGGTGAAAGCATAGATGAGCAATATTATGCTTGTCAATGGCCACATCTATTCCTTCTACCCTCTTTTGAGGAAACAGCTAGGGTGACAGGAGCACATCACATATTTGTCTGGGTCTTTTTCCTCCCCAGGTTATTTTTTTAATTGTTCATTTTTAAAGTAATCTATTCTAAAAATAAGTTCAGTAAAAATTGTTGATATGCTATTGAAATTGGCTTCCATCACCTTGGAGCTTCGCAAAAATACTCTATGGGCCTCAGTAAGGTGAAAAACTAAACCTAAAAATGGAAATTGTGCCCCTCTTCCTATCGTTCAGATATTTCAAGGGTAAAACCTCCCTTTGCCTAATCCTATCACATGCAAACTGACTCTCCATGTCCCTGACAAAACCCCTCCTGCAACCCTACCTAAACCAAAGAATAGAAGCCCTTATCAGCTCACAGAACAGCCCAATGATAAAAAAAGAAATTGTAACCTAGAGAAACTCCAACCTTGCATCTTCTATCAGCTGATGAGTCCAATATTCCATCTCCTTAACAGCTTTGGTGCCCTCTTGAAAGGCTCACTTTTGTAACTGTAGAACTCACCCCGTGCACACTGCCAAGGACCTACCTAGCTTGCCCAAACTGGTCAGCCAATCAGATGACTATGATTTCCTGCCTTATAGTCCTCAACTTCTATAAAATTCATTGCTTTCCGGTAGTTTAGGGTGTTTCTTTCTTGTAAATCAGTCACCTAACGATCATTAGTACTTTTCCTCAGTGCTGTGATCTTACTTTGGCAAAATCTATAACACTCTAGTGCATACCAAAATTAAAGGCATCAGGTAACAATTAACAGACATCTAAGATCTGGAGGATTATCATCCAAGTCATTAATATTAGACTAACTATGTAACTATTTTGGGATTTATGTCTCACTTAATCCCTATCTTCTCATGAAGTCAGCACTCTTTATGTCCCTTGTTGTTTTTATCATTAGCATATATGTACAAAACTATCTTCATTCCATCAGAAGGGAGGCCATTGATTCTACATGAAGCCCCAAAGGAACCTTTGGTAATATTTGCCAATGAATTTCAATACTATTTGAATCACACATCTATTAGAATATAAGGAATACAATAACTTAACCCAAGAACCTAGAACATAAATGGGAAGACTTGAGAAACCGTAGAGTTGACAAGGCAGAATAGAGTTGTCTGTGTTTGAAAAGAAATACCCACTGGATGAAAGTTGCTGTCTTCTGTTTAACTTTGAAACTGTCAGGCCTCGTTGAAAATAATGAGGCTTAACAATCATGGCTCTTGCTCTTTAAATGAATGATGATGGCTATAATCAGAATAGGGTAGGCCACACCATGTATAAGGAATGCAAAGCCACTTTGCTTTTTGTTTTGTTTGGGAACAGGCATGTATATTTTTGAGGGCTAACTTTTTAAAAAAATGAACCCAAATTAGAAGCAGATTATCAAAATAAGCCAAATCTGAAATACCATATACTTTCTACTACATGTAAATTCCATTTAAAGAGAAGGCAGGGATTTACAATTCGTAGCACTGACCTATCCTGACACTATTCCTATTGCTCCCTTCCCCATTATCTGGCTCAAGGTGTCACTATAACTTTCTCCACGGATCCCAGGCTACTCATTCTTCCATTCTTCTTTTGTTCCGTAGTCTAATTCATGATGTATTTTGCCTGTGCGAGGAAGGAGTTACAAGAGAGTATATTCCATAGCATGGCCA